ATCAGCTTTTGATTTCTTGGGTAGTGTGATAAAAACAGATGTTTTCATGTCCCTGGGAATGTACCAATAGTTATAAATGTCATTGCATATTTCTGTGATAGTATCAATTCCAAAAGTAGATAATGATTTTAAAATTTCTGCAGTTATGTTGTCTGGACCTGCAGCTTTTCCCTGCTTCACCTGTTTAATGGCTTTCTCTACTTCAGATTTTAATATGTTTGGCCCCTCTTGAATATTTTGGATTGGCGGTTTGTCACCTCTGTTGTCCCAAAACAGGTCTTCTGTGTATTCAGTCCATCTTTTTATTATATCTTTCGTATCAACAATAATTTTTCCATCCTTCCCCCTAATACAACCATTTCCTGTTAAATGTGTTTCCTTGTTTGTAGGTTTTCTTATATTTGCATGTATTTCCGTGGTTCTGTGTTTTTTTTCAAGATCCTCTATTTCTGTGCATTTTAGCCGAATCCATGTTTCCTTAGCAGTTCTACACATATTTCGTATTTCTTTGTCTGTTACTGAATATTATGGAGTGTTTTTTGCTTTCTTCCTTTGTATCATTTTGTTAATAATTTCCTCAGTCATCCATACTTGATTTTTATTGCTTTCTTTCACTGGTAAGATGGCATTAGCTTTTCTATACTAGTTTTGAAACATTCCCATTTTATATTAATGTTGTCCTCTGGATTCTCCCGTCGATATTGTTCCATGCTTTCAACTATTAATCTGTCATATTTATTTTCAACCTCCACTAGGTACTGCTGGCTTATTTCTGGCTGTTTTAAAGCTGATATGTCTATGTGGGGTGACCTTTGCGTTTTTATTTCTGCGTTTTTAAGTTTAGTTTGTATTTTTATTACCACAAAGTTGTTAATTTATATCCGCATCTGGGTATGTTTTGGCGTTCTTAATGTTGTTTTTGAATCTGTCTCTAATCATTACATAGTCAGTTTGGTTTCTATTTATATCTCCTGGACTCTTCCACGTATACAGTTTTTTAGGTGGATGTTGAAAAAATGTATTACAGATAATGAGCTGGTTCTCTTTGCAAAACTAACAATCTGTCTCCTCTGTCATTCCTTGATCCCATGCTTAATTGCCCTACAATATGTTTGTGTTTCTTTTTTCCCCACTTTTGCATTCAGGTCTCCCATAACTATTAAGACCTCTGATGATTTTAAAACTTTAGGTGTTTGTTGTAGTTCTTCATAATATTCTTCAAGCTGTTCATCACTGTAGTCAGTTGTTGGTGCAAATGTCTGTATTATTGCAATATCAGAAGGTTTTGCCTTGATCTTGATCAATATAATTCAAAGTTTAAGTAATCGCAATTGTCAAAATGTACGTGCCAGACCAAAACAAAAAAATTGTAGTCAATATTTTACACAGTAATTATTAAACTGACACTGAAATTTAAAAAAAAAAAATCTATAAAATATCTAACTCCAAACGAAAAACATCTAGAAAAACATCAACCATCTAAAAGTAAAAAACACTATCTAAATGCAACGAATTAATCAAGTAACATAACGTGTATTGACTGGCACTCATAGAAAGAAGTATTATATAGGCCTTAGCACCTTGGTGTACTACAAAACCTACTGATTCCCACGCTTTTCTTCTCTACACGTCCACCCATCCCTTTATTGCAAGGACTCAATTCCGTTCTCCCAACTTCAACGCCTCCGCAGACTATGCCAGGAGAACGACGACTTTCACAGGACCCTGTAAATTTTGGACTTCTTCCGGCTTCCAGGGTATCTTGAACATGTCCTATCTGCCGCCTTTCACCGCGCACGGCCTCTCCATCGTGCCGAAGCTCTCGCTTCCAAGCCAAAACGTCACAACAACAGACCCATTCTCACACTTACCTACCACCCTCACAACATCCGCGCGAAAAATATTTTATTTAGGCATCTCTCCATCCTTAAAGCCGACCCTGCCACCAGTAAGATTTTCTCTGAACCTCCTCTAGTGGCCTACAGGCATGATCGTAACCTCAAGGACATTCTAGTCAAGAGTAGGTTACGTCCCGCGTCTGAACCCCACTTCGGCACGGTCTCTTGCCATAGACCTGTATGCAGAACCTGTCCATGTGTGGTACAGGTGGCCAATCTAGAATTCCCTAACGCCACCTTCCACATACGTGAAGCATTCTATTGTACCAGCCGCCATGTCATTGATGCCATCAACTGCAAGAGATGTGGCATGAAATACATTGGTGAAACAGGTCTACGGCTGGCTGACAGGTTCAGACATCTTTTGGATGTGCAAAATGGTGCCCTTAAACCAGCACCGTTGCACTTCAATTCCCAGGATCACTAAGGTGTCCATGACAGGGAGTTGACAGCCATTAAATCCAGCCATTCCAGCGACAGAGTCCGCAGGTCTCTTGAGAATCGTTTTATTTATACTCTGGGGACTTTGACAATCTACGGACTGAATTGCCAACACAGTTTCATTTAAACTCCCAGGGTATTGAACTGCCCTCCCAGTTTCAACCCCCAACACCCCAGTTATGGCCCCTGGTATTCAACAGGGGGTATTTATTCTCCCAGCTGACACGTGTAGTCATTTAAGTGCTCGACGTTAAATTTTTTTTTTCAAAAAGACTCGGACTTGGACGTGTAGTCATTCTGCTGAGTAACAACCGACCCGGCGGCATCGAGATACCAGCTAAGTGATTTTGTGTGACTATGTAGTATTGTTTAATTTGTATGTGCTGATGAAGGTTCAATAGCGGCAACGTTCACGTTTTGTTTGTATTTGTTATATTGTGAGGCTTTCTAATATATTTTTCGTTTGGTTTTATATTTTTTATAGAAAGAAGTAGCAAGATAGAAGAATACACTAGACAACATAAAAATCGAAAGCTATAGTTACCGTGCCGGTAATTGAACCTGTCACCTCCAGACGGCGTGTGCGCCTTGCCATAGATACAAGTGCACTAAGAACATGGCCAATAGCCCCCCCCCCCCCCTTTTCCAAAAAAAGCTGATCTTAATGCAAGGGAAAACATCTAACTCTGGATGTAAAACATCCAAAGTGACAACACTGTTTTCGACCACGCCCTAAGCCCGCTCAAAGGGAAAGCACTGTGAAAACACATCCGCGCCGTGTGCAAACACAAGCGGGGAGATAGCAGACGTCGCCTCCATCACCTGTCCTTCATCGCTACATTCTGTCAACCAGACACAACAGCTGCTTGAAATATCGTCCATTTCACCGCCGCGATTTTAAATTTGTCGTTAGCAAAACAGCCATTCGATTAGTTTGACGGTAAGGCTGTTAGATTTTAATCGGTACAAATTCTTATTAAACTTACATAGTGTTTATCATAAACTTTATGTTCATATGAATGTCAACTCTCACATTCCATTGTTAATTTGCGCCTGTTTACATATTGTTGTTGCTCTTTTCTAACCTATAAATTAGGTATAATGTATTTTATGCCTGTTGTCTTGTTGGAATAATATTTGTTATGACTGGAATACACTTTTATGGTGCATAAACATGGACAGCGAACAGCTACTAAACAGTACATCAGTACAAGTTACAAGCATATAGAAAATCTTATTCAGGCTTTGGATATGTGGATACAGAAGCTTAGGTCGTATTTCATGGACGCAAAAACAATCGGAATACAACTTTTCCCACTCTGGAGAGATTCTGGAATAAAAAGAGTTACTAAAAGAAATTACAAAAAAACAGACGCAGTTGAAATATTTTGGACACATTCAAAGACATTCTTGGGAAAATGTAAAGGCAAGCCCATGTAAAATGCAGCCAACTTTGTTATGTTATTACAATCGACATCACTGCACATTGGGCAGTACCATGCATGCTCAGTCCTCTGATGCAGCAGCCACTCCTAAGTGCTTCTACTAATTGTTCCCATGAGAAGCTGGTTATATTGTCTCCTATCTCGGCCTCAAAGATGGCATAGACATGCTTCACCATGCCTTACTCCCATGTCACACAATCGTGTTAGTGTCAGGGATTCCTCATTATCTACTAGCCCAGTTCGTACAGCCTTGACGATATCTGCTCTGTCCATGCTTTTTCCTGCAATCCTTAGTGCAGTGCTTGCCAGTTGGTCTGCTAACTCATTTCCCTTTACGCCCGCATGACCCGGTGTGTAGATCCAGGTTACGGAGATTGTGCAATTTTCAAATGCTTTCTACCCATTCAGAACGCATACCACCTGTTGCTATCTTCTGAAGCATATTCATGGAGTCTGATACAATTACTGCCTGTGTGGTGGTTTGCTTGGAGACCCATGCTAAAGCTCTAGAAGCAGCGGCTATTTCCATGGCCAACTAAGCCCATATAAGTGACAAGATCAGATTAAGAGATTGATGAGAGTTTACATCAAGGCTGTTCAGCTAAGTTTATTTAGAGGCCACAATTTTGAAAGAGGATCAACGCGGTCCAGAGATCCGAGACCCAGTATATAAATTTATAATACAACACAACAGGCAGTGATTTCACAGACAACTGGCAGATTTGGTTTAATAGCCCTGATATACATCGGGACAAAGATGGGTATCCTGGAGATCCATTGCGTCCAGTCTTCATTATAGAGATGTTACCTGATTTAAGTGAATCTTTCTGTTGTCTCAGCTATAAATTCAGTGTAGTGTAATTTGTGTTAGCTTTGTTCTGGGCGGTGATCACAGGTTCTGGGAGATATTCAACACTAAGGGGGGAAACATAGGCAGACTATTAATCAGTTTGCTGCTGGCCCTATAATCATGTCGACTTGTTGGTGTAACATTGATGATGTATCATTTATTATAATTAATAGACAAGAAGTTTTAGTTCCGCAGCATTGCATGGTGATAATGTAATGTAACAATTGATATTTTTATTATCAGTCTTTAAAAAAATGTTAACCAAAATGTCATTTAAGATGTAATTGTCCCTAAACTTTCTTTTTTGTTTTGTTTCATTGTTCTGTTCCAAAGTTTACACAAGGTGCTTCGTTGTAAAGCCAAGTCATGTCTGTTGTACTCAGAAGCTCAGACAAATGTCCGAGGTGTCAGCAGAATGTTTATTTTGCTGAAGAAGTGAGAGCTCTGGGCAAAAAGTTTCATAAACAGTGTTTGAAATGCTGTAAGTAGACTACTTTGCTGTCAAAGTTTAGATAAATATTGCAGTAAATAGTGAACTTGATTTTTAGAACATTTTATCAAATTTGCAGTAAAGAGGAAAAACCTATGACAGATTTCATAAAATTGCAGTAAATTGAAGGACCGCTGGATAGAACATTTCACATTCATACTAGTGAATGGGAATTCAGTATACTGAAAATACACTTGTTCCTAAAATTACATTGTTAAAGTAAATAACACAAAAATAAAACAAATGAGTGAATTGAAATATCAAGTGTCATTTTTCACTTCAGATGGAAAAATGGATAGATAAATCAACATACAATGTGCGAAAGCAAATCAGGTTATGGGACAATAACACCGCTTCTGTCGCATAGAAAGATACCTCTGTCACCCAAAGCAAATCTCATAAAAACAGTTTTTTGGTCGACATTGTGCTACCAGTGCCAAACATGGACCTTTACTAAAGCTAATGAGTGGAAGATTGTAACAACAAAGATGAGATGTCTTAAAGAGAGCTGCTAGTGTGACAAGAAGAGATACAATCAGGAATGAAGAAATTAGAAGAAGGCTGGGACTTAAACCAGTCATACAATTCATTAAACAACAACAAATGAAATGGTTTGGCCATCTGACGAGAATGCCCTAGTACCAACTGCCACAGAGAGCTACCCTGAAGAAATATAATGAACACAGAGCAAGGGAAAGACCATGCAAGAGATGGGGCGACACCATCAGGAGCAACCTAACAGAAATGAACACCTTGTACAATGTATTGGAAAAAGTGCACAAACGATTCTTACATCTCTCCCCAACACCTCGCTGAGGTAAATGGTGGAAGATAAGAAGAAGAAAATGGTCTCTGGCCCAGGGAGTCTGTGGAACAAATTCAAAGTGTCTGTAATATAAATTTTTGTGGGATATTAATTTCTCTTCCTTTTAGAGTCCATTGTTAGTGGTGTTGTTTTTCATGTCTGTTCATAACCTTCTGTTTTGTGTACTTTTAATAAATTCTGATACAGATGATCTTCTGTACCATGATGTCAGACTGTCCAGCTTCTTATCCCTCTACCTATTTTTCCATCAAACTTTTCCACTGTCACCAGGTACTCCAGTTTTCTTCTTCTTGTGACATGACCATCAAATGTAGAGTGTCTTCTGACGTGGGCAGACAGTTCTTTTCATGTGTCGCGTTCTTTCATGACATCTTGTTAACTTTTTTTTTCTCAAATCTATTTAGGGTATTCTTATGATTTATCTGTAAAACATCTCTGCTGCTCCCAAGTAAACATTTTCTGTTATTTATAAAACATACAGAAAGTTACTGCTTGCTGCTGAAGATGGGGGACTAAGCACTTATGGGAGTGTCCCGAGTTCTGTGATGTAGATTCTTCATTCAACATTCGGCATAAAATATAATTCATTCTTCCATAGGGCTATTAAAAATTTTAGGGTCCCTTAAAGAAGGGTCGGCGGGTCTCAGCTAATTATGAACCACCGCCCTAAACCATTGAGCCAATAAATTCAGCAGTTTGTTCCATGGACTTTCAGTATTATTAAAGCAGAACATACATGGAAATATTCTACATTTAGCAAACAACAAACAGATGGGACTTCTAGAACTAATTCACATTTGTGTGTCTGCCTGCCTTGATGACTCTGAGATAATTATCTCCTACTTATAAAAATGGTAAAAGAGTTTGGTGGGGAGTCGATTGAGCAAACTAATCTTACTGAGGAAACTGATAGACCCTTTCTATGGTTTGGGTTATATTGGATTCAGGATGACCTGTTTTTTTTTTTTTTTAATAGATTAATAAAAACTCAAGGATGTCATAAATATCAGATTGCTGGTGTCCTTTTCTGTGTGTCTTGTCAGCTTCAAAATCCCCACCTGGAGTTTCTAGCCATCCACTATCTGGCCAGCAAGCTATCTGCTGCAGCCTTTTACTAAAAGTGCTTGAGCTTCACAATGATAACTGATGCAAAAATACTACAGAAATGTTGAGTTTGTTTCTGTCTGTTGAACAATACTCTTCTTCTTCTTAGCGTTCACTGACTGTAAACAGTCCACTTTTGGACCCTAGTCCTGTTCCAGAAGTTGCAAGCACACACGTTTTACACATCTGGCTTACTTGTGTGCTGACTGTTGATTCCTCACCTCAGGCAGGAGCATTCCAACTTTGAAGGAATAATCCCTAATGACATCATGCTTGTTAGGGTGGCAGTGGGTCTGTTGTTGTTTGTTTTCATCACAAAGTGGGTCAGAATCTGCATGGGGATAAGCAGTACTGTGTAGTAGCTAGTCAGTCATCAGGTGTTAATTCGTCTTCAGTTCTCCATCTTTCCAGACAATATTATTCCATTCTGCTACAGTCAAGTAAGGGGATCACAGCTCATGATAGTGCCAGTTAAGGCCAGGGATGGTTTCAAAGCCTAGGCGGTATTGTATAGATCGTATGTTGCTCAAGCAGCATGATCCCTCGCTTGACTGCTGTGTTGCTCCACAGATAAGGTAGCACTGATTAACTCCACAGATAAGGTAGCACTGATTAACTCCACAGATAAGGTAGCACTGATTAACTCCACAGATAAAATAGCACTGATACATTTGGACTCAATCATATTGCAAAAGCTGCCAGATCAGACAAGTAGTGCTTTGTTTGCCCATCTGTCAGCTTTCTTCCTAGGCCAGCTGTCAACCAAGATTGAGGACTTGGTCAGCCCTGCACTACCACACATACAGTTTTCATCCTGCATTTCCTCATCCTAGGATAGGCTTGTATCTTCCTTCAGTGTGCTCCTCCAACCAGAGCCAATGGCTCAAGTAGGATGACAAGTTTTTGCATGGCTTATCTCATGCTTGCTGATAATTATATTATGTATTTTGTTTTGTTGGCTTGATGTAGTGGAGTGCAGGAAGTTGCTAGACAGCACCAATTGCAATGAGCATGAAGACAACATCTACTGTAACTCCTGTTACAGGAGGAACTTTGGGCCACTCAGCCCATCCATGGCATCATCGCCGGATTATGGACAGCCCCTTGAGTGAGTAGTTTACTGTTTTGGAAAATTATTTTTTGTTTGCATATTATTCTTTTCAAAAATTTTTACATTTCTGATGTTATTTACAGTTTACCCTATGACAGTGAAAGTTGGAAAACCATCAAAGCAGAGCTTTCCAAACTTCTCATCATTGTGACATACATTTTAGACAAACATAAATTCACAACACAGTATATCAGTCTACTGGTAAACCAGAAGTTTGAGAAACCATACATTTGCTGATTATCCTGTTTAATGCTGTACGTTGGTGACACACCTTCACACTGCAGCTGACACACTAATGTGTCATAACACAGTTTGGAAAACTATATTAAAGACGTGAAATAAACGCTAAATGTATTAGAAATACAATTCCTAAGGAAATTGATAAACATATTGGAGGAATTCAAGAAAGAAGAAGAAAAAGAATTGTCTTGAGTTTTTTTAAATTTTGAATTGACATAATCAAACGGGTTGTTTTTTGTTTTTTTTTAAATGATTACCACTTGATTTTGAATAACTACAGTCTCCTTGATATGGTTTTTTTTTAAATCTTTTTTTTTTTTATCAAACTTTGAAGGCATAAAGATCAAACAGACCTTTTAAGTATTTAGGTTACCTTGTTATGTCTGTCAAAAGATGTGAGACAGACAGTATGAAATGAAACAGCGTAGCCAGCAGGACACACACACACAAATATGACAATACCGTAGACTCGAGAATATCCAGCCCTGTGTGACGGAAGAGTAGGCCAGATAACAGAAACAGCCGGATATGCCAAAGTTCTGTAATTTCTCAGTTTATTACCGCACTCTTTTTTATATCAGAACCCGCTGTTATTCAAATTTTATGACCTCTTAGGTACAGATCAGTACTTATAAATGTTTTTACTGTATAATCTAAACACTTATTACAGAAAAAGGAAGTCCTGAATAGAAATATTGTTCACATTTAAAGATGTGTGCTCGCAACTACTTGGCAAAGTAAATTATTTCTTATTTAATTACCGATAATTTAAAAAAATAGAAGAATTTAATAAATAAAAATAAAACTAATCCAGATAATAAAGAATTTGGATAATCACGAACCGGATAATCAAGATTCTTATGTATTCGCCCCAGCTGTTTGAATGACTGGCGTAGAGGTTAATGAATGCATTTAACCATTTCATCATCCTCAACATTCTAAACTTTTATTTCCAAGGTGGACAGTTTATTCAAAACAAACTGTCCTCGGGGCATTCAGGCAGTGCTACAAGAGTCGTGAAGAGATTGGGGCTTCAACACATAATATTCCCAAATACAATGCAGCCAGGCTTCATTGTAGAGACAGTACATGGCCAAGTCATTTGCCTTGCGATATAATTGTCAAGGGTTCATTTAACGGTAAAACCGTTACTACATAAGTCCAGTTATTACAAAGATCCTCGGATCATCGCCAGAGCTACAGTTAGTGCTTTGTGTGCGGCGCTCTCAGCAGGCAACTAGTCATTTAATGGTGTGAGACCAAGCCATATGGGATAAAAACCTAGTCCAGTGATGCCAATTCTCGCGACTTTAAAAAAAAAGGCATGACTCCGTTAGGATTCTTGAAAAAATCTGTAGCAATAATTTTTAACTAGGTCACTAATAAATTTGTTGAAAATCATCTATCAACATTTTAAAATTATTAAAGAGTAATGAAGGCAGTAATCAATAAAACACAGATGGGGTGAAGCATTAAATTGAACAATCCCATGGGGCCTAAAAAACACATGTATATGGTTCATGTTGTGACCTCGTGACCTTTACCGCTAAGGCTTGTAAGGAAATCTGAAGCATTTTGACCACACACATGCAAAAAACATTCAGCACAACCCCTCTAAATGCTGTTGTTAATTAATTTATTCATATCCTGACCTCCTGAACATTTGGGAAGGCGAGCTCAGTCATTTGTGTTAATTATACATCTCGTAAACAGGTCATGATATGCAAGTGGGAAAAGTATCATTTATGGGGTATGGGACCCAGCTGGAAGAGTGGATTTCTTTGCATTTATTTGACTTTTACAAAATGCTTGTTGGAAAAGTATCGTTTATGGGGTATGGGACCCAACTGGAAGAGTGGATTTCTTTGCATTTATTTGACTTTTACAAAATGCTTGTTGGGGGATAGTGGGTCGGTACTTTGTTCCCCCACAATGGGACCCCAAAACAAACATGAAGATGCAACTGGATTTAAGTATCAGACAACAGAGAGGATTGTTTGTTTGTTTGTTTGTTTTAGTATCCAGAAGCCATGAGTTGTTAACCCTTAGGCTCTGTATTATGGATATTGCAACCTTTCGGCCCTTGATTCCATTGTAAATACCGTTAATCTAGGGGAAAATGTGGCTTTTCTGCCTACCCCCGGTAGTGAACCCAGACCACAAGGAGTTCGTCACCCGGTCACCCCGCAATCCGGTTTAGCCAACTACGCTAGAGAGCCGGGCCAGAGAGGATTAAATAGTTATGATCATCGGTGTCTGTTCCACAGTATGCACACGAAGAAAAGAGAAGAAAAATGTAATCTGTTTATTGTTGGATTGCGGACAGCATACTTTTGCTTAAGCTGTTTTGTTTTTGTTTTTTTAAAGCAGTCATCAGTAAACTTATCTTGATAATGAAATTTTGTTTGTGTGCTAGTATCACTTGTGCTCCTCGTGGCTCTGATGTCTGCCCGCGGTGTGGGAAGGTTGTCTATATGGCAGAGCGGTGTACTGGTGGTGCTAAGGTGAGTTTTTCTTCTAGTCTCATGCACTTGTGACTAGAATGCACTTTCATAACTAGTGTATAATATCTTCATCTTTTTCTTATTTGTTCACCGCCTGTAAGCTGCAGCAAAAAGTCCGGGTTGTTTGTCTATTTAAACTGTGGCTTTGTTCCAGGGCCAGAGTTTTGCACGTACATTCATTTAACTGGCTTATTTATGTGCAGCTGTTTGTTCCTTCTCATTCGGGTAGATGCACTCCGACTTTGAAGGAAGTCCCATATCAGTCAACCCCTACAACATGCTTGTTGGCCAGGCAATGGGTCTGTTCTTATTGTCCCCACAATGGGGCCCCAGAACCCACACCGGAGTCTATAATATAATATCAAGTAATGTGCAGTCATTCCCTCTTCTCACAGCTCTGTGGAAAGGCTCTCAGTCTGTCTGCTACCATGTTAGTCTGAGCCTGCCTTGTCATTCAGGAACCATACCTTCCATTGTTCTTTCCATGCTGCAGTAATAATTAATGTGGCCAAAGTATAACTATATTTCCTAGACAGAAAATCACTTAAACACTGATATCACGGCACTCAGGATATGCCAATAAGTGTTTTGTCTCCTGCAGAAGATTTGGAAGAGTATGGATATTTACAGATCTGTTTTTGACCAGTTGCCCACTCTGTTTTGTCTTATGCCATGATTCTTCATGCTGTTGCGGATTGCTTATTAAAAGTATCATGCTTCCCATACTCGACCTGTGTTATCCCAGGGGCTGCCTAGGAGGCCGCCCAGTCTTTTATTTTCATATACACTAGCTTGGACAGTAGAGTCACTTTGTATTCTTGTAGATGTGATGGTGCTGTTTGTGTCAGCTATTCATGCAAAAAATGCCCTGATTGAATCTTTCGTAGCACGAAACTGAGAGTCAGTAATGTTGACTGGTTTATTTAAAAGGGTCTCAGAAGGCCATCTTAGAGCTGCAGTGACAGCTTCAACTTCATTTCTCATGTTTTGTTTGTCTGAGCTTGACTATACTGTCTCCATCTCGCTATGAAGCACCATTCAGATCTTTCACTTCATTTTATTTGCTCATCTGCCAGGATGACTGCTCTTCTGATGCATGTTAAAATTGATTGCACTTCACAAGCTTGTGAAACAACTCAGCAGTGCTCATTAGGGTCTGTGGACAGCCAGTAATATTGATATACCTGCAAGGAAGACTCAGCTATGTATGCCAGCCCTTGTGAAGATTTTTCTATCACCAGTAATGTTAATTTTATTATTTTTTTTCTTTTTAATGAAACCGTTTTGCTGACTTTGATTCTGTTGTTTTAAGATTTTCGGCAACTGATAATATTCATGTTATTTAGTTATGCATCTGTATTTTTAACTTTGTTTCTTTTGTTTTGTTAAAGTTTTCTGTTGGTAGTTTTATGTTATTATTGTAATTTTGTGCTGTTGACAGTATTTTCACAAGTTATGTTTTCGCTGTAACGCATGTGGTGTGGGCTTGGATTCTAACCGCTTGGCTGTAAGAGAAGAGGAGATCTATTGTAGAGGTGATGTTCTGTTATGTTTCTTCTTTATATTACATCATATTATTACGGTTATATACAAGCAGTACATTTTAGAGTGCGCTGCTGTATATCTGTCAGCAGTACAGTGGAAACACAAGATACAAATTTAATCCATTCCATGACTGAGCTCGTAATGTGAATAAATCTGATCCTAAAACTATTTTTCCCCATTAAAAAGGAATGTAAATAATTGTAATTCAATCCAGCCCAGCTTTTGGATGTCATATTTACTAACAAAAATTGAGTTTTTGGTTTCATTATCGTGGAAAATGTATAGCACTGCTTTGTTTTTGTCTTTGGCGAAAGCAGAAAACGAGGTTACATCCGACCATGATGTTACAGTCTATCATCAGGAAGTTGCCTGTTGGCTGGTGTAGGGGATCATGCTTTTGAGTCAGGAGGGACCTGTTATTTAAATCCTCCTACAGAAACGTTAATGTGACCTGATCCATTTTACAAGTTATTCGTAAAATTATTAAGTTGATCATCTGATTATCTTCATGGCACATTAGACCACTCCGTATGTGCTCGCATCCCGTATTTAGTGTATCCCTCAGCGTGTGGCAACAGATAACACCAGTTCTGTAGTTAAGGATGTGATATTGTGCGATACTGAGAGTTCTAGTCTCTCCAGCTCACATCGGGGAGTTTGCTCCAAAGTTTGGGACAGAAAAAAAATATTCTGAGACTGACCTTGAATCCTGAAAAACTCATATTCAGGTACACTCACATGCAGAGGCTCTACTGTGCTTGCCATTTTCTTAGAAGTAATGCTGCCCATGTATTTATGTTTGTAGAGAATATATATTGCTAGAAAGTTTTGAGACATTGCCTGTCTGATACATGATACCTTCATTGTTTGAATTTGACTTCCACATGTGACAGCACATATAGAACCATAGAATACTAAACACTGATACATTCAGAAAGTAAATTTGCATATATCATGTATAGGGTGTTCATCATTGAAGGCGCTGTTAAAATTGTTAGTGCCTGGGTAGGCATTTGAGGTTAGGAGTGAGATTCAACCCCACCAGGACATCCACCAAGCAATAAACACCCGGTGACACCAAGTGCCACCATGCGGATGAGGATCCAGAAACCCTGTTCAACCATTAGGTTATAGTAGGGCCCCCAACTACAGCCAGGGTGGGGCTTTAATTAAGGAGGTAAGGAAGGTGACAGAAAGTATAGAGAGATCAAGAATGTGTGAGTTTCTGGTTAGGCTGGTTGTCACACTTGCTTCTCTTAGATAGAGAATATTTTATTGTTTTAAGTCCAAATTGCACTTCTCAGCCAGGTAATCACCTTATGTGTAGTGATAGGACTATTTTCCCCATACATCTGTATCATCTGCATATTTCTCTTATCCAGCATGTGTGCAGTGTCCACTTAATGTTCTTTACTGCCCTTGCTGCTCAGCACATAGGATTATGACTTTATCTACGTGAATGTTGCCACTGTTCTCACTGTCTTATTTAGGAGACTAACATTGATGGTACATGTGTTTTCTGTAGCATGCTATGGGAAGAACTTTGGACCAAAGGGATACGGATATGCTGGTGGTGCTTCTGGATTGTCAATGGATACAGGAAAGCCTGATGATATTCCAACGAGGTAGGCGTATATGTATCTTGTCAATCAAATCCATCAGTCTGTCGGCAAGTCCTTTACAGAACGTCACTCTCTACACGGCATGACTAAAAGTCTCTCTTTCTCAATTCTCCAGCCCTGGGTGCTTTCATAACCAGTGCATCTTCAGTGCCCTGTGTCCACCTGTGGGGAGGTTGGCCTCTGCCTCGTTTTCCTGACACTGCACTCTCCATCTCCATTCCTTCCAGACCACGATGGCTCTTGACATGCAAAGAATCTCAGCTTTTGTGAGAAGATGCTGTTTACCAGCCAGTTTTTCTTAATGTTCAGGTTTTATATCTTGTCCGCTGGAGACTTTTAAGGTAAACAACAGAGATGTAGGCAATACACTTGAGAAAATTAAGGTTTTAGAGGGTCTCTGTGGTAGAGTATGCCTGGCAAGTTAAGTTGTGTATCCTTTAAAGTGCATCTCTATATATATATATTAAAACATATCATGAATGTGTGTGTATATATGTGTGTGTCTGTGTATATATACAATTATTCACACACACACACACCCACCAACACACACCTACCTACCACCCTACCTACCTACCTCGGGAAATCACTCTTCAGCATGTTAACCCTTTCGCTGCTACGTTCCCGGCTGTAGCTGTCTAACCCAGGGCTAAGCAGTGTGGAAAAAAAGTATCTGCTGTGCGCAATACTTTTCTATCCTCCAAACGCAAAAGATGGGTCTGCCGTGAGGGCTATATTTTGTACACCTAAAAATGTTTACCCTAGGGAGGTTTGTGGCTGGCGCGAGTGGTGACCAGTGGCACGATGCTGCCCCACAAACTTGACCAACAAAGCTACCATCGCCCTGGGGGTGGGGATTAATAGGAAGAACTGTTCCCAGTCCCTATCCCAAAATTTCATTGACAAACCTACCACGACTCCCATTTTAATCATAGTTAATTGTAGTCACCATGTTATTAAATAAAAAATTATAATATCTGAGTCATCCGTTGCTGAAAAGTGGCAAGAACTGAAAGGAAAATTTACAATAATAAGAAAAAAAATATAAAAAAATAAGTTGCGGGTTGAACACAGGACCTTCCGATTCTAAGGCGGACGTGATACCAACTACACTAGACTATCTCTAGATAGTTACGTATTGTTTGGAACATTATATTCCTTTGTAAAGAAGTAGTGATTCATCAATAGCCACGTCCTGACAAAGTGAAAATGCACCCTGAAACGATGTGCGCAGACTATCAATAATGTGTTTAATTTTGTAGTTTGTCGCCGCCTGCATGAGCACTGATGTCTGAGAAATGTAACATTCTCAACAATAGCAAAAATCTGTCCCGCGACATTATTTCACTAAACACGGGAGTTTTTGCTCCAGTACTCACTTTTTTTTTTTTTTGAGTTTCTTTGTTCTAAGCATTAGCAGACAGACAGCAAAAAGAAAAAAAAAATAGTTTGTTCAAATCCGTGTCTGTCCATAAGAAAAGACGAGAACTTGTAGTGACAGGTGCCTTCTCAATTACTTCCTTGCAGAACCTGTTAGTTTTTGCTGCAATGAAAGTCATCAGTAATTCCGTGAAAAAAAAAGTAGAAAAAAAATTCAGCCCTGAACTGTTTGAATTTACATTAGCAGAAATACAGCCAGGGCTGTTTGAATTTACAGAAGCAAAAATACAGCCAATGCTGGAGTCATCAAAATTATGCACTACTGGTATCACATCATCGGTTGACCAATTTGTTGCCGTTTTGATGGCGCTTCATTGTCGCTGCTCTCTGATTCCGATGATGAGGACGTCAGACAGGCAAACAACTTTTTCTTGGACACGCCGGTTTCAGCCGTCGATACTGATGGCCAAGTCAAATCTTCTTGTTCACTGTCAGAAGTACACATTTCAAAGTCATCTTCGCTATCACTCCTTGACAGAAACTCCATCAATTCTTCATCAACTTTAACAAGTTTTCTAGCTATTTAGTACTAAAGAAGTGTAGAATAATCCAAAGCCACAAATATATATCAGGGCACAAAATACACAGATCACCGACCACGCTGTCATGGTAAACAAAGCGACAGGATAACGCAGAATGCAGTAAACACATCTTAAACACACCTAAATGCACGTGCCAGTGCTTTTAATCGTATGTAAATGGGTCAGTTGAATCTAAATATAGCTAATGTATATTGCCCTTTGGCCCCTTAGACAAGAGGTCACAGAAATCTGTAAGGAAAGTCCAAAAATGGGTTGGTACGTCCATAGCACTGGGGGTCACGAAAAAAAATAACGTCTAAAGACGGGCGTAGCAGCGTACATAAAAACGGGAAAAGACGTCCATAGCAGTGAAAGGGTTAACATACATATTTTTGTTCTTATAGTATTTATTTTCTGAGGTTGCACTTTTTTAGATTCTTTTCTACCTCTCTATTTTGTTTTATTTTTATAGGTGCCTACATATAAACTTATGCTGTGTCATTCTCTCTCTGTCTCTCTCTCTCTCACATATACACACACAAAGATATACACTCTCTCTCTCTCTCTCTCTCTCTCTCTCTCTCTTTCTCTCTCTTTCTCTTTCTCTCTCTCTCTTTCTCTCTCTCTATTTATATATATATATATATCTTGCTAGTGACTAACATGTTCAGCAAACTACTTGAAAACAATTTCTCCATAGCTTAGAGGTTGAAGGTTGATGTTTAAAAGTTCTATGACCCTCAAGTACTAATGTGCAGTTTCCATGATGGGTGGTTTATTTGAAAACAAAAACAACCTTTGTTATGGTTTTTCAAAAAGTGGTGCGAGAGTTGCACCATGAAAGAGATTGGGACCTCACAGCATAATATTTCCAAAGATATCAGTGTGTAAACTGTTGTCAATCTTCATTGTAGAGACTGCCTACAACTGCTGTTTTTTTTTTCTGTTTAAAAACAGTAACATCCCAGCCATTGCTCAGGCCCACACTTCTCCACTGATGGACGATGGCCAGGAGCTGCCCGAAGGAGATTGGACTGATGTTAGGGACAGGTGCAGCCGCTGTAAGAAAGTTGTGTATTTCGCCGAGAAGGTGACAGGAGTTGGCAAGGTAATGTTAGCCTAGAGAGGTTACAGTAACTAACACATATAGTTTACAGCTAGGGAGATTTGTTGAACTTGTAGTCGTTAGGATTTGCTCAGATTTATGCATTTAAATAGATTAAAAATGTAGTCATTGAGTCACCTTTTTGGCTGTTGATTCCTTTTAAGCTTACCTCCTTTGAGATCTGATGAACTTACATCCATTGAGATGGGATGTGTTTTTATCCATTGAGATGTGATATGCTTACACCCATTGAGATATGATGTGCTATATACACTGAGATATGGTGAGCTTACATCCATTGCAATATGATGTGCTTACATCCATTGAGATATGATGTGCTATATACACTGAGATATGATGTGCTTACATCCATTGAGATCTGATGTGCTTACATCCATTGAGATATGATGGGCTTACATCCATTGAGATATGATGTGCTTACATCCATTGAGATATGATGTGCTTACATCCATTGAGATATGATGTGCTTACATCCATTGAGATATGATGTGCTTACATCCATCCATTGAGATATGTTGAGCTTACATCCATTGAGATCTGATGTGCTTACATCCATTGACATATGATGTGCTTACATCCATTGAGATATGATGTGCTTACATCCATTGAGATATGATGGGCTTACACCCATTGATATATGATGTGCTTACATCCATTGAGATATGTTGAGCTTACATCCATTGAGATCTGATGTGCTTACATTCATTGAGATATGTTGAGCTTACATCCATTGAGATATGATGTGCTTACATCCACTGAGATATGTTGAGCTTACATCCATTGAGATCTGATGTGCTTACATTCATTGATATATGTTGAGCTTACATCCATTGAGATATGATGTGCTTACATCCATTGAGATCTGATGTGCTTACATTCATTGAGATATGTTGACCTTACATCCATTGAGATGTGATATGCTTACATCCATTGAGATATGATGTGCTATATACACTGAGATATGTTGAGCTTACAGCCATTGAGATCTGATGTGCTTACATTCATTGAGATATGATGTACTTTTATCCATTGAGATCTGATGTGCTTACATTCATTGAGATATGTTGAGCTTACAGCCATTAAGATATGATGAGCCTACATTCATTTAAATAAGTTGAATTTAGTCATTGAGCTTGTTTGACTTTCGGCCTCTGAGATGTGTGGATCTGTAAACATTGGCATGTTTGACTTTTGGCCTCTGAGATGTGTGGATCTGTAACCATTGGCATGTTTGACTTTTGGCCTCTGAGATGTGTGGATCTGTAACCATTGGCATGTTTGACTTTTGGCCTCTGAGATGTGTGGATCTGTAACCATTGGCATGTTTGACTTTCGGCCTCTGAGATGTGTGGATCTGTAACCATTGGCATGTTTGACTTTCGGCCTCTGAGATGTGTGGATCTGTAAACATTGGCATGTTTGACTTTTGGCCTCTGAGATGTGTGGATCTGTAACCATTGGCATGTTTGACTTTCGGCCTCTGAGATGTGTGGATCTGTAACCATTGGCATGTTTGACTTTCGGCCTCTGAGATGTGTGGATCTGTAACCATTGGCATGTTTGACTTTCGGCCTCTGAGATGTGTGGATCTGTAACCATTGGCATGTTTGACTTTCGGCCTCTGAGATGTGTGGATCTGTAACCATTGGCATGTTTGACTTTCGGCCTCTGAGATGTGTGGATCTGTAACCATTGGCATGTTTGACTTTCGGCCTCTGAGATGTGTGGATCTGTAACCATTGGCATGTTTGACTTTTGGCCTCTGAGATGTGTGGATCTGTAACCATTGGCATGTTTGACTTTCGGCCTCTGAGATGTGTGGATCTGTAACCATTGGCATGTTTGACTTTTGGCCTCTGAGATGTGTGGATCTGTAACCATTGGCATGTTTGACTTTCGGCCTCTGAGATGTGTGGATCTGTAAACATTGGCATGTTTGACTTTTGGCCTCTGAGATGTGTGGATCTGTAACCATTGGCATGTTTGACTTTCGGCCTCTGAGATGTGTGGATCTGTAACCATTGGCATGTTTGACTTTTGGCCTCTGAGATGTGTGGATCTGTAAACATTGGCATGTTTGACTTTCGGCCTCTGAGATGTGTGGATCTGTAAACATTGGCATGTTTGACTTTTGGGCTCTGAGATGTGTGGATCTGTAACCATTGGCATGTTTGACTTTTGGCCTCTGAGATGTGTGGATCTGTAAACATTGGCATGTTTGTAATGTTTTGGTAATTGTAAATGTTGGCTGAGTCATTCTGTGATTATGTTAGATGTAACAGAATGTGACCATTAACAATGATGTCCCCTGTCCTGATCAGGTGTTCCACAAGACTTGCTTCAAGTGCAACAACTGCAAGAAAGGATTGGACTCCACCACCATGACGGAGCATGGTGGAGAGCTTTACTGCAAATGTAAGACATGTTTTCCATTTGTGTCCAAGGGCAACAGTCACTATCTAGTTTAAACAGTTTTATCAGTTAATGTAACTTTCTTTACAGTTTTTCCATTGTTTAGCCCATTGATGGATGTTGTCTTGTTCTTCTGGCTTGTCACTCTTTCCAAGACAGTATGCCACACCTAGTCATGCTCTTTAGAGACCTGTATGTTTGACTTGTTTCTTTAGTTGTGCCATCTCCACATATTACGTGGTGAAGCTCCATTTCTTCCGCAGTGTGACTCTCATACCACTATAAGCTACTAAAGTGGCTTTCTGTAAACTACCCCTGGTGGGGATGAAAATGGAAAGCTTCAAGTATTGACAGCCCCAGTATGTCGAGATTGTAAAAATATGCTCACAACCTCTGTACCACGGATGCTGACTCTAGCACAGTGGATGAAATTTAGTACTCGTTTACTTTTCCTGACTTTGGGATTGATTATGTGCCATAAAACAAGAGAAGTCGAGATTTCTCTAGAATAGCTCAGATTAATAACTTGAAACTACATATATCACCTGCCATGTGAAGTGGAGTTGTGTTGAGTAAAGAACTGACATCACAGCATTTGGGACATTCCCTTGAGTGCTCCATCCTTACCTTCAGCAGCCAGAGTTCCACTTTCAATGGTAACAGTCTGCTTAAATGTCCATCTCACCTTTCCTCTGAGTGTAGAATGTCGAACAGACCCTGCTGTCTCTGTACGGGGTATGCCTGTCTCTGTACGGGGTATGCCTGTCTCTGTACGGGGTATGCCTGTCTCTGTACGGGGTATGCCTGTCTCTGTACGGAGTAATGCCTGTCTCTGTACGGAGTAATGCCTGTCTCTGTACGGAGTAATGCCTGTCTCTGTACGGGGCATGCCTGTCTCTGTACGGGGCATGCCTGTCTCTGTACGGGGCATGCCTGTCTCTGTACGGGGCATGCCTGTCTCTGTACGGGGTATGCCTGTCTCTGTACGGGGTATGCCTGTCTCTGTACGGGGTAATGCCTGTCACTGTACGGGGTAATGCCTGTCTCTGTACGGGGTAATGCCTGTCTCTGTACGGGGTAATGCCTGTCTCTGTACGGGGCAATGCCTGTCTCTGTACGGGGCATGCCTGTCTCTGTACGGGGCATGCCTGTCTCTGTACGGGGTAATGCCTGTCTCTGTACGGGGCATGCCTGTCTCTGTACGGGGTATGCCTGTCTCTGTACGGGGTAATGCCTGTCACTGTACGGGGTAATGCCTGTCTCTGTACGGGGTAATGCCTGTCTCTGTACGGGGCATGCCTGTCTCTGTACGGGGCATGCCTGTCTCTGTACGGGGCATGCCTGTCTCTGTACGGGGCATGCCTTCTCTGTACCGGGTATGCCTGTCTCTGTACGGAGTAGTGCCTGTCTCTGTACGGAGTAGTGCCTGTCTCTGTACGGGGTATGCCTGTCTCTGTACGGGTCATGCCTGTCTCTGTACGGGGCATGCCTGTCTCTGTACGGGGCATGCCTTCTCTGTACGGGGCATGCCTTCTCTGTACGGGGTATGCCTGTCTCTGTACGGAGTAATGCCTGTCTCTGTACGGAGTAGTGCCTGTCTCTGTACGGGGTATACCTGTCTCTGTACGGAGTATGCCTGTCTCTGTACGGGGTATGCCTGTCTCTGTACGGAGTAATGCCTGTCTCTGTACGGAGTAATGCCTGTCTCTGTACGGAGTAATGCCTGTCTCTGTACGGAGTAATGCGTGTCTCTGTACGGGGTATGCCTGTCTCTGTGCCTGTCTCTGTACGGAGTAATGCCTGTCTCTGTTCAGGGTATGCTTGTCTCTGTACGGGGTATGCCTGTCTGTGTAGAGTAATGCCTGTCTCTGTACGGGGCATGCCTGTCTCTCTACGGAGTAATGCCTGTCTCTGTACAGGGTATGCCTGTCTCTCTACGGAGTAATGCCTGTCTCTGTACGGGGTATGCCTGTCTCTGTACGGAGTAATGCCTGTCTCTGTACGGAGTAATGCCTGTCTCTGTACGGGGTATGCCTGTCTCTGTACGGGGTATGCCTGTCTCTGTACGGGGTATGCCTGTCTCTGTACGGGGTATGCCTGTCTCTGCCATTCTCAGCATGCTTCGTGAGTCTGTTACTATCACTTTGTGCTCGTGCAGCTGAAGCCAGCAGAAAGCTGCTGTGACTTTCTCCATCTCCATTCTTTAACCTGATGTTGTGGATCATATGCTATGTTAACTCTTTGAGGACATTTTTTTCTGGATTTAGGACGGCATTAATTTTGAGCTGAACTTTTTTACTGCAACATGACAAAGCTAAAACCTTCTTGAAGACAAAAGTATTGGTTTTTTAATACATCAAATTAAAGAGAGATTAATGCAGAATAAATCTAAACTATGTAAGTGACAGTATTACAACAAAATATTATTAAAATCAAACAACATTCAAGGATGCTAGACACAAATGAGATTATTTACAAAAAAAATGTTATACTTACCTAACTTTTTACTTGTTCTACAACATTGCAATCCATTTCTGAGAATTATCTTTCCCTCTCTTTTCAATTTTGTATCTGCTAGTCTTTATTTAAAACAATTTATTTAATTACTTTGGATGTTGTGACCATTTTTGTATGACATGACAAATTTCACAACAACTGAAATCAGGAAAACAACTGATCAAAACAGACGATCCAATTGAAATATTCTGTTCAACTTCATTCTTACCCATATTATCAGCAGTACGTTTGCACATGCATGATCAGTCATAACATCAAGACTATTGTCACTATCTGGCTGATTCATCAACGAAAAAGTGGTATCAACCGTTCTAGACCTTTTCCCTTATCATTTGTTCTGGAAAAATCACCTAAAAATTATATCACATCTAATTAATTAAAAATAAATAGGAAAATTACCCATACACCATGCTGAACTTCAAAAACAAAATGATTTTGTTTCGCTAATTCTAGTTTATCAAAACATGTTCATAAAAATTGGTTTTCCCAGCAAACGAAGCAAAATTAGAGTGTCTCTGTGGCTACAGTCTGAAAGTGGTGGATTCAAAAGCCACTAAAGGGGTGAATAGTCAGCAAAGAGTTAAGCTAAGAAGCATGAAAAAGTAGGCCTGTGCCTTGTGGCGTGGTGATATCTGTCACAGGTATGAGAGAAAGTAAAGGCCAATGTGGTGTGTAAAAGAAGTTATACTGTATCTCACTTTGGGTGCCAGACGGCTCTTGGATGATTTTTTGGATCCTCACACAAAACTCCTGCCGCACATCCACATCGTGCACCACGGATAAGTGCTCATCTTTGTGACTTTAGTGAGTTGGCAGGGCATCTCAGAGTTGGTGGCCTCTAGAGATGTAGTATCCAGCCTGGCTGGCAGCTGCCCACCCCCCAACACAGGGGTGAGAACATCTACCCAGGCTCTAGAACACAGGTAAAGTCCGCTGACCGAAAATACAACTATGCTACTCAGTGTTACATGAATTTATAAACTGTAGATAGTTTATTAAAAGATTACTTGTGTGACTAGCTCTGTTAGACGCAACTATCAAAATGTACATGTGTTATTGTCATTATCCACACAGTGTAGTTATCCTTTTATTTATCTTCTTTCAGCATGCTACAGTAAAAACTTTGGCCCTAAAGGCTTTGGATTTGGTACCTCAATGGTTACAGAGCAAGCCTAAGTACTGGCCTGACCTCAGCATTCAAACACACGTCTGAAAACATAAAACATCACACATCGAAGCCCTATTGGTCTGTAAAAATATGAGTCAAGCCAGATATGCCCAGTGTGCCTCTGGCATATAGAGGTATCCTTACTTTTTACTAAGAACATAAAACCATCAAATTCAATTGTTGCTCCAGTTTTCAGGGAGGTAGAAACAACATCTTGTTTATTACACATACCAGTTTTTCTTGGAACAATCTGTCAGTGTGTTACAAATATGTAAGATAAATTTAATGTACGTTTTTGTAAAATAATTGAACACAGATAATTTTTATAAATTCTAGAGTATACAGTTTTGGCATGCACTGAAATATATATATATCTCTTGGAAAATGATTTAGTCGAATGTAATTTTGGCATAAGAATCTGGCAGGTTTCACCTTATAGGTATATGTTTTTTTTTTTTTTTTTACTGAGACAGTGTTGCATTAAGCTTATCCAAGCTTTGATTGCTTTCTTAAGGATGTTTTAATGTGACAAACACAACTGAAGTCTGTATGAAAGGTTGTGATCTGCTGTGAAGAGATAAAGTTTGCATTAATGTGACAAACACAACTGAAGTCTGTATGAAAGGTTGTGATCTGCCGTGAAGAGATAAAGTTTGCATTAATGTGACAAACAGAACTGAAGAATGTAAGAAAGGTTGTGACCTGCCGTAAAGAGATGAAGTTTGTATTCATGTGACAAACAGAACTGAAGTCTGTATGAAAGGTTGTGATCTGCCGTGAAGAGATAAAGTTTGCATTAATGTGACAAACAGAACTGAAGTCTGTATGAAAGGTTGTGATCTGCCGTGAAGAGATAAAGTTTGCATTAATGTGACAAACAGAACTGAAGTCTGTATGAAAGATTGTGATCTGCCGTGAAGAGATAAAGTTTGCATTAATGTGACAAACAGAACTGAAGTCTGTATGAAAGGTTGTGATCTGCTGTGAAGAGATAAAGTTTGCATTAATGTGACAAACAGAACTGAAGATTGTATGAAAGATTGTGATCTGCCGTGAAGAGATAAAGTTTGCATTAATGTGACAAACAGAACGGAAGTCTGTATGAAAGGTTGTGATCTGCCGTGAAGAGATGAAGTTTGTATTCATGTGACAAACAGAACTGAAGATATTATTAAAGGTTGTGATCTGCCGTGAAGAGATGAAGTTTGTAGTCATGTGACAAACAGAACTGAAGTCGTGACGTTCTTGAGATTATTTAGTCAGACAGTAACTTTCTATCTAGTGTGATGTCTTTACATGATGTGTCAGTATAAAGATTTATCTATGTTCTGTATACTAATGGTTCTGAACTTTTTTGTTGCGATGAATCTATTTCAGCACGTCAGAATACAATCTCACCTTCTTAAATTGCTATTTGCTTCAATCTGTGTCGGGCAGGGACTTTTTTTAAACCTAATTTTCAGATCTGTCTGGCTTACCTGGGTACTGAAAAGGTCTTGGGAAGTAAAGATGGCTGGGTGATATTGAGTGCAACACTTACCTAGTGGTCATTGATGTAACCATATTGGGTAGCATCATCTACCCAATTTGCTAGCTGAAGTAAAAGAGTCCTGTACTTCTATAGAAAAATTTTTTTTAATGAGAAAGCACATTCAGAAAAGTATCAGTTTCATACTGAAATATATTATTTGTTTGTGTGTGTGTGTTTTCCTGTTCATATTTACATGCTTTTAATGGTTAACTCTCCACATTTAATTTCAGTTAATGTTAAAAGTTGGGAGAGTTTAAAAATTGTAATTTTGTTGTTTTTGTAACTAATTACCTAACATTCAGACCAAATGAAAGCATACTTCATGTAACTGATTTGGCAAAATGACAGTTGACTGAGGTCAGATATTAATGTTATAAGAGTTTATACCCCTGGACCCCCCCCCCCCCCCCCCCCCCTTTTTCTTCTTGAAACCTGTTAAATACCTTTCATTGTGAGAAGGTCCATCTTGTTTGAAACCCGTCATTCTAACAATCACAGTCATCTTGAGGGTGTCTGATTGTTCGTCCTGAATGAAAAGGCAGGTGTGATATCAGTAATTGGGAGTAGTCTACTTGCTGTACAGTTCTGTCACATATCTGAGATCAGTATTTGCTCTATGTATATACCACAGAAACAGTCTATCTGTTTATTGCATATGAGTGACATATTATATCAACAATGCAGTCTTTGTGTATTACAGATATATTTTAGATTAAATAAACCATACAGATTGTGTGTAGCTTACTTAGTCGCTTAAATAAACCATACAGATTGTGTGTAGCTTACTTAGTCGCTTAAATAAACCATACAGATCGTGTGTAGCTTACTTAGTTGCTCCTCTTCTACCTTGGGGTGTGGAGGTTTGCTGGATAGATCGCCAGACTCCTGTGCTAACTTACAGTGTGTGTGTGTACCACAGTATTTTACATGATAAATAAACAAAACACATTATGTGCACTAGAGGTGTAAAACAACTCAGATGCTTTTAAATCAACATTTTTGTGGTCATACCCAGCCCCAAGCTGTATTTGTTGATGTTACGTGTTTCAAGTGAATAGTTCCGAGATTGAACAAAGACATGTATTTGTTGATGTTACGTGTTTCCAGTGAATAGTTCCGAGATTGAACAAAGACATGTATTTGTTGATGTTACGTGTTTCAAGTGAAAAGTTCCAAGATTGAACAAAGACATGTATTTGTTGATGTTACGTGTTTCCATTGAATAGTTCCGAGATTGAACAAAGACATGTATTTGCTGATGTTACGTGTTTCCAGTGAATAGTTCCGAGATTGAACAAAGACATGTATTTGTTGATGTTACGTGTTTCCAGTGAATAGTTCCGAGATTGAACAATGACATGTATTTGTTGATGTTACGTGTTTCCAGTGAATAGTTCCGAGATTGAACAAAGACATGTATTTGTTGATTTTACGTGTTTCCAGTGAATAGTTCCGAGATTGAACAAAGACATGTATTTGTTGATGGTACATGTTTCAAGTGAAAAGTTCCAAGATTGAACAAAGACATGTATTTGTTGATGTTACGTGTTTCCAGTGAATAGTTCCCAAATTGAACAAAGACATGTATTTGTTGATGTTACGTGTTTCCAGTGAATAGTTCCGGGATTGAACAAAGACATGTATTTGTTGATGTTACGTGTTTCAAGTGAATAGTTCCCAAATTGAACAAAGACATGTATTTGTTGATGGTATATGTTTCAAGTGAATATTTCCCAAATTGAACAAAGACATGTATTTGTTGATGTTACATGTTTCAAGTGAATAGTTCCAAGATTGAACAAAGACATGTATTTGTTGATGTTACGTGTTTCCAGTGAATAGTTCCAAGATTGAACAAAGACATGTATTTGTTGATTTTACGTGTTTCCAGTGAATAGTTCCGAGATTGAACAAAGACATGTATTTGTTGATGTTACGTGTTTCCAGTGAATAGTTCCGAGATTGAACAAAGACATGTATTTGTTGATGTTACGTGTTTCAAGTGAATAGTTCCCAAATTGAACAAAGACATGTATTTGTTGATGTTACGTGTTTCAAGTGAATAGTTCCGAGATTGAACAAAGACATTTATTTTTTGATGTTACGTGTTTCCAGTGAATAGTTCCGAAATTGAACAAAGACATGTATTTGTTGATGTTACATGTTTCAAGTGAATAGTTCCGAGATTGAACAAAGACATGAATTTTGGATGTTACATGTTTCCAGTGATTAGTTCCGAGATTGAAAAAAGACAAAGTTACTTGGTTCAATAGTTCCGGGATTGAACAAAGACATGTATTTGTTGATGTTACATGTTTCAAGTGAATAGTTCCGAGATTGAACAAAGACAAAGTTACTTGGTTCAATAGTTCCGAGATTGAACAAAGACATGTATTTGTTGATGTTACGTGTTTCCAGTGAATAGTTCCGAGATTGAACAAGGACATGTATTTGTTGATGTTACGTGTTTCCAGTGAATAGTTCCCAAATTGAACAAAGACATGTATTTGTTGATGTTACCTGTGTCCAGTGAATAGTTCCGGGATTGAACAAAGACATGTATTTGTTGATGTTACGTGTTTCAAGTGAATAGTTCCCAAATTGAACAAAGACATGTATTTGTTGATGGTATATGTTTCAAGTGAATATTTCCCAAATTGAACAAAGACATGTATTTGTTGATGTTACATGTTTCAAGTGAATAGTTCCAAGATTGAACAAAGACATGTATTTGTTGATGTTACGTGTTTCCAGTGAATAGTTCCAAGATTGAACAAAGACATGTATTTGTTGATTTTACGTGTTTCCAGTGAATAGTTCCGAGATTGAACAAAGACATGTATTTGTTGATGTTACGTGTTTCCAGTGAAAAGTTCCGAGATTGAACAAAGACATGTATTTGTTGATGTTACGTGTTTCAAGTGAATAGTTCCCAAATTGAACAAAGACATGTATTTGTTGATGTTACGTGTTTCAAGTGAATAGTTCCGAGATTGAACAAAGACATTTATTTTTTGATGTTACGTGTTTCCAGTGAATAGTTCCGAAATTGAACAAAGACATGTATTTGTTGATGTTACATGTTTCAAGTGAATAGTTCCGAGATTGAACAAAGACATGAATTTTGGATGTTACATGTTTCCAGTGATTAGTTCCGAGATTGAAAAAAGACAAAGTTACTTGGTTCAGTAGTTCTGGGATTGAACAAAGACATGTATTTGTTGATGTTACATGTTTCAAGTGAATAGTTCCGAGATTGAACAAAGACAAAGTTACTTGGTTCAATAGTTCCGGGATTGAACAAAGACATGTATTTGTTGATGTTACATGTTTCAAGTGAATAGTTCCTAAATTGAACAAAGACATGTATTTGTTGATGTTACGTGTTTTAAGTGAATAGTTCCGAGATTGAACAAAGACATGTATTTGTTGATGTTACGTGTTTCAAGTAAATAGTTCCCAAATTCAACAAAGACA